GATTCTTTATAAGTCGAAGCTTAAGAGGAAAAATATTCAACATATTAAAAATTTCGAATTATTAAAAACTAAAAAATGTTTTATAAAGTATTTGACATAAATTGTATATTTATAAGTTTTTTAAAATATAATTCTATATCGGGGGTTTTTGCCAGTTGCTGAATTTTCATTTTAGTTTTTTAATATTACATTTTTATTATTTATTATTATAGAAACGGTACTCCAAGGAATTCTAAAATTTGTGACTATTTTCCTTCCTTCTGTTCACTTTTTTTAATAGTTTTATTTATTTTGCAAATGATAATGTTGGTAATTCTATTTTTTGAACAATAATAACGTGTGTTATTAACCCTTCGTTAGTCACCTTGTTGACCTGAACAATTTTAATCACCCGGGGTAATATTATACCCCATGTATTAAACTTATTTCTGTAATTAATAAATTAATAGATTTTATTATTTTTTATTAAATATGTATCTTACATTTATATATGTATAATTAATATTTAAATAATTAAATGCAAATTTTCAAGTATTTCAAAGGTAATTTGAACATTTATTCTATATAATTATAATATTAAATATTGCTAATTACTTTTCTAGTTTTTATTTTATTTTTTATGTGACATTAATATAGTGATCTAGTATTTAAATTATTATTTTGGATAACATATACATCATATTTTTATTATTATTTATTAATTTATGTTAAATAGAAACCCTTGTATCATAAATGAAAATAGATCAAATATAATATAATTATCTTTTCAGTATATTTGTATAATAAAATTTAAATAAATATATTTAATCTCAAAAGAAACTCTTTTTGAAAAATATAACAATTTTTAAAAATACATAACTTGTAATGAAAATAACATTTTTTAAAAAACTTAATTCTGTAAAAATTGGAATTTTTTTATAAATTAATTTTCAAATGATTTTAAACTAAAGTAGTCACCTGGGGTAAAATATTTCCAGACTCCACTTTGAATTACTGTTTATCATTTGATACCGCAATGATAATGATAAAAATCATTATTACACTAATCAAAAATGATATCACGGCAGTGAAGGTGCATATGTTCTTACCTCTATAAGAATAAACGTTTTTAACATGTCTGGGGTATTCAAATACCCCGTGGTGACGAAGGGTTAACCATTGTCAAACTAACATGATAAAATATTTTGTATGGACTTATCAAGGTTTGATTAACAATAGTCGTATATTGTAATTGAGTTTTACAATAAGTTATAAGCGAAAAACAATTGCAGCGATAATCTATTTTTAGTATTAAATTTGGATGAGAAAATTCGAGATTTCTAGAACTTGTCCAATTAATTTTCAAATTATAAAGTTTATTTAATTGTCAAGTGTTATTGTTATTTGTGAGGGATTGTTATTTATTTGGGATATCGAAAATTTCGAGTTACGAGAGTCGACTATTCTAATATCCGCTGATTTAATTAAAACTATGACGTAAGAAGAATATGCGGTCACAGTAGAATGTTATTAAAAAGCTTAAATGGCTACGGTGTATTATTTTTTTAATACGTATGAAAAAAAAACAATTAATATTTTTATTTTAAAAATGTATTTATTGTGCACACGCAAAGAAATGTTCGTTCTACGACTGATTAATGACGAATGTCAAAAAACCACGATACAGGTATACAGAAAATGGTGTGTAAGATTTGAACGTAACAAGAGCAATTTGTGAAATATCCCGACGAAAATAATAATAAAACGCTAACAATGAAGACTTCAAGTGCCGTAAGGGGTTAAACGGACGATACGATTCCGTGAATCCTCCGAACTAAAAAATCCGATTTGTGCCGAAATAGGAGAGAAAAAATAGTGACTTTCTGGAAGGTATACTAGACGTGAGTGAGGAATGTACCTGTGAGTCTTCGAGATGTTAATTTCGTATGCGGACGGTAAATCGCTCGGTCGGGTTATCGGGTTATAAAGTCTGATCGTAATATTAGAATACCACGGCTGTAATCGATGTTACAACACGCGTATTTAGTATTACACTTAATAATTGTACACACTTTGATTGCATTATCCATCTATTGTTACGTTACTGTACACTTGTTTATTATATTATACGCCCACGGATAATGATAACAGTAGACTCATAATAATATTGTGTCGTACATACTCTACGACGAACTGTGCTTTACTACTAGCGGATCAGACTGTACACATACGTATATGTATGTATTGATAACCCTTTCCCCGTCGGCATTGAGTGTTTGCGCGCTGTGCTGCGTAAACATAATACCAATGGCGGTACATGGTAATATAAAAAACAATTCTGAAAGCCGCCGTGCGTTACAGGGGAACAGCGGTCGTCAACCGAAACGACTCTTACCGTATATTTCTATGCGTCTTCGTACAGTGGTCGAGACCTAATCTGGGTATTATTTCTCTGCGGGACCAGACGGAAACGATAACGAAAACTGTTCGACCACCGGTGGTGTACAATAACTGGGCTGGGTCGCGCGTAACCGGGGGTTGGTTGGTTTTACGATGTCGCACGGTATCGTTTTTATATTTCAACGATAATGAAATCGCGGCAGAGCAGTGGTAACACCGTGATCGATAGCTGTGGAGGTGCGGCGGGGCAGAAGTCGGTCCGAGTCCGCCAATTAATTAAGAGTTATTATACGGCAGCATCGGCGGTGGGTGGGTTTATCGCGTAGTATTACCAAGCGAGGGGTGACGGAAGATATTTCGGAGATATGAATGATGGGGGGGGGAGAGGCAGTGATTTTTTACCCGTGTCAAAACACGCAAGATCGGAATAAACGATAATTGCATCGCACCTGTCTTGTGCGCGTACGCATGCGCGCCATCGTCGCGGGGGTGTAATATCTACACGGCAGCGGGTGACACTGGTTTTTTTACGGGTTATTTTTATTGCTCCGCTTGGCCGTCGTCCTACCGTTGAAGAGTCGTCCGCCGAGAGGGATGCTTGTGCGCGGACACGCGGGCAAGAATCGTTATGGTCGCGCGAGGGACTCGAATCCCGACCGCGCTACCTGTGCACGCGGTATTGTATCGACGTGTTTTTTTTTTTTTTTTTATTGTTTTTTTTTTGCGATCGCCGTGGGCTACCATTTCGACGCGGACAAACATCACGTTACCACCCGACCGACCGCGGAAGACGTGCGTTCGAAATGAAAAATACGAGTTCTCGCGGCTGTGCGCATTAGAACGCGGAATGAGAAAATCACGACATACGCTGGATTTAGGGGGTAAGAGATCTCGGAAATCTCGCGAGTCACGAAAATGATGCACCGCGTCTTGTCCGATTCGAATTAGTGTCAATATTATAGCATGTTTTTTCCATGTTTGTATTATACCGTACGTCGTAGACGCTGCATTAAATTATAATATTATTGATACGTATTTTCGGAATAATAATATTTTTAATTTCGAAATGTTAATAACGTATAATATATTTATGTAATGCTCCTTATGCCTCGAACGTTGTATTAATAATAATAATAATGGTAATAATGGTAATATTAATTATCGTAATTTTTTCCTTCGACGAGTCACTTTACTACTCGTATAACATTAGGTTTATGTATTTTATTTCATACGTGATATCTATATACGCGACGGAGATTCATTTTTTAATTAAAATAGATGCGTATAAATATTTTTACGGTTATTGGACGGCGTGTGTATGTATAGCGTTATTATAAACCTCAAATATTTTATGACGAGAACGCATATAATGTAACTCGATAGTAAATTTAATACTCTACATAAATAATAAGAAATAAATAAAGCCATAAACATTATATTAATACGTATATGGTTTTGCGGTCATACCATACTAGTTTGACTATTACCATGTCCGTTACATATTTGGGTTCCTCTGCTTCGGATGCAATGTAGTATTACCTAATACGTGATTAACACAATATTTATATATAAAAAGTCGCAATAAGTAGTGTAAAATAATTCGTCCAACGATTATACTTTAATCGTACAAGGATTTTACGTGTAATAATGCACAACTAAGGGTAAAATAACATAGGGATTAAAATCGTTAAAAAAAAAGAAAAGAAATTAAGAGAGAAAAAAAACCGTGAAAAATCTTGATAACATTAAACTAGTGAAAAAAGTGAGCAAAAGTGTGTCAGAACTGAGACCGCATATTTTGCAAGTAAACCCGTAAAACAAAACATTATTATGAAATCCTTTTTGCGTAATGTATTATTATGTAATAAAATGATAAAAATTTAATTAAAATTAAAAATTATTATAATACTCGTAAATTAATATACAAATAATTAAAAAAAGAAATGCTTAATACCCGGAATAATTTCAAGTTTAAATATCCTGTTCATTAACTAAGTTGGTGTATTGGCTTAGACTAATACTCCAAGCTAAGGATTTATTTATGTTGTATTACTAAATGTAATGTATACGCGATGATTCCACATCACGGCTGATCGGTATAATATTTTGGTTTGCAAAGTAAATAAATTTGCTTTTGAGTAAGTATACCGAATCTGCGTATTATATTATTTATTGTGCACAGAGTTATATATTTAAAAAGTGTAAACCGTTGGTTGGATCAAACAGATTTTAGCAATAATTCAATAGCCCCCCGGCAACCACTCGGTGTATTTTATTTCACTCCGTTTTCGGGTTCGAGTCGCTACAGCCCGCCGTCGTGTCGCACGTCTTATTATCGGTAACACGATGACTGAGATCGACGTGTGCCTACAGTATGGGGGATGAGGGTAGAAGGTCGGTGAATACTGCGGTCATCTGCAGATTATGCGCAATAAAATCGCGTTGTAACTTCGATGCCCCCGTAGTGCGTAATATTCGCTGACTTGTCGGTCCGTCCGTCCCGCGATCGACCGTTTGTGCCCGCATAAACGCACGTGCAGAACGATGGTCGCGTAACGCGCGCGCAACGTAAACATTATCGTACGGCATGTGGATGCATTATTGTGCGGTGCAGTACTCACTGTTCGGTTTTTTCTTTTTCTGTGTCGTGGAACGGCGACAGAACCCGACGACGAATAAAATCAACAACATGACGATGATTCCGCCCACGGCTCCCACGATCGCCAGGATCAGCATAAAATCTCCTGTAAAACGTGGAAAACCGACGTCAGAAAACGAGCTGAGTGGTGGGAGGACGGAGGGACCGTCGAAGGGACCACCGTTTTCACTTACTTCTTGGCACCAGCGTGATTTCGATCGAGTCGGACCCGTAGTCATTGGAAGCCGTGCAGTTGTACACGCCGAACTGCTCATACCGCGAGTTTCTGATGATCAGCGTGCTCTTGATGCCGTCGTCCGTCGGGTCTTCCAGTACCTGCGAAACGAGCACGTGTATTAATAACGAGGCAACAGAACATTTTTCAATCGTTGCGATATCGATCCAGACATCGCGCAGGCAGTCCGAGGACCTACGGATTTTTTGAACGCGTTCGAAGTACCCCAAACGAGTACCATCGACCGACCGACGGTTAGTGTGTGCGCGCACGCGCCTTTAAGAGCAAAAAAAGTTGTTTTTAAATAACATTTAAAAACAAATTTTTCACTATTATTATATTATAATGTACAATACGGTTTACCGATGCACCGTGCATTGATGGTAAACTGTCGTGGTTACACGCGCGCATATACGGTTATTGTAATCGTTTACTATAATCGTCCTCATCCTGAGAGTCATCATTGTAAACGACCTAGTACGTGTATCGCGTTTGTATCGGAATCATCTAAAAACATATTCACTACTAAAACAAATATATCATTTATACGTGCGTGTGTAATACACGTGTGTATTGGGTTTTGGAAACTATTCAAATGCGTGTATGTATGTATGTGTGTGTGTGTGTGTATGTGTTAGGAATGCGCTCTTTCATAAATGATTTAAACACCGGTGGTGCGCGATTTAAAATACATACGTACATATCCTATTTTCACTCTATTATTATTACTATTATAAAGTTCCGGCTGCGACGATCGTAATTTTAGACGGTAGTTTTTCTATATATACATGGATGTACATATTTTACACGGAAGAGGCCGCCGCCTCGGAGGTACACATGCGCTCACACGTGCATCTATATGTGTACGTATATATATAAAGGAGAAGATCGAGAATGTGTGTTTTTATCCTTTTTTTTATTTTATACTTGTTGGCCATCGCCATATGTGTATATATAGGTAGTTCAAGAGGTTCGCGTGCAAATATAAACCGCTGGAAAATATCGCGACCATAAAGAGCACAGGGCGGAATAGCGTGCGAGGGTGAGTGCGCACATGGAATTTAATATAGATGTATAAGATGTGTGTGTATATATATTTATATAGGCCGAACGGATTAACCTCTTCTCAAAATTGAATTATTATTATTTTTTAAACAATAGCCCCGGGACAATGATGTATCCGCATGTGTATATATTATATATCACCCAGGTAGACGCACGTTTCACGCCAAGCGCGTATAATATTATGACGTCGGCGGTCTCCGTCCGTTTTTTCATCCCCCTAAATTTGTATTCATCAAAAATACCGTTCATATAATACGATACGTTTTCGTTCGTTGCGAATACATTGCGTAAAATCGTATAGGGTTTGAGCTTGATATATTTCGAATCGTTTAAATATGACATCAACCTAGGGGTGGCGATTCCGCGGATAATAGGTTACGTTGGTCAAAAATAATTTAACTTTTATGTACAAAAAAAAAACCTTTTATACGTATTTTTTCAAAAATCTTGCGCATAGTTAGAAATGTTTTCATATCGAATAACAAGCGTACGCTGGTACTGATTGTCTCATAAATTATGAAAATACATTTTTGTAACCGGTACAAACCAATAACGAGGCATGAATTGGTGTTTATTACAAATGTCGGTGAAGTGACTGATTTAAAAATTTGAGAATCGATGATGTTTAGAGTATATTTATAAGTTTCGGATTTATGCCGTCATAATCGGTAAAATTGTGATCGGTCGCAAAAAATCTGTCGTTCATGTTATACGAGATAATTAGCAAAAGAAAACAATCTTTTCCCGTCCGGACAATTATTTCTACAGTCATATGTGTGAATCGAAGGCGTGCTACCGAGGTGTGTCGAGTGCAGCCGGTCACGCCTTGATAGTGGGGAAAAATCCAATTATACACGTTCGCGTATGCCCATATTAATTAGTTGATTAACAGTCCGGACGAGGTGTAGTTTTTATATAACAAACGAGCGGCAAGTTTGAAGCTCTTTAGACAGACACCTCATACGCGTCGCGTGAATGGATTAATTAATTATAGTTTGATAACTGTAGTTATACAGAAACCGACTCGAACGCCTTGTATACGTGACGACCATTGTAAACCTTACGTTAGTGACCGGCCGGAATGGATTCAGATGAGGATGATCGGGGCGAACGCCATCCCCGTTATCCACAAGAAAAAAAACCCTTATAGAAATCGGTGCTCTACAGATGTTTTAGACGGACCAGCCACGATTAAAAATATATTTTAAGCCGTAATACGATCCGGGTGTATGACATTTGAATTTTTAAATAACGACCTCTACCCCAGTTTTATTGGTCTGGAACGACTGTCTAGTTCTGTGATATCATCAATATGCTATGGATGAACAACGTACTTGTTGACTTGGGATACGGCCAGAGTTTCGCAAACTAGTTGTAAATATTACGACGTGATACAATTAAATTACTTCGTCGTTATTTAATAATAACAGTATGTCAATACGGATATAATCCCTGTAAGTATTTTAGAGTTTTCCGTTGCCGATAACAGAGTTGTCGACGAAAGGGTAAATCCAATAGCGTGTACCCTCACACACACAAACATGAACAATCACGAACACACAAACGTACGGAAAAGCATAACTACCGAAAATTTGATCAAACTTTCAGGCGAATGTTTATGAATTTTTATTACTCCAAGGTAAAGACGGTATTCGTTGAACAATTCAACGCACTGATTTCCATCACAAACACTTGTGCACCGTTATACAATAAGAAATATTTTAAAGCGATAATAAGAAACATCGTTATTGTTATAACGTATAACCATTACGATTCGGTGTACAGTATAGTGTACGTACCGAACGAACGCAGTACCGAATAAAATACGAGTGCATTATTTGAACAGGGTTCTTTTCCCTAGTATGGTTTTCAGTGAAACTTATCGAGAGAAAACGTATGCACGCCGAGTGGTAGACTCAGCGACAAACAGACATACGGATATTTATATAATATATTGTAAAACATAATATCATCTTGTTGGTTTAACAGTGTTATTACCATTATTATTATTATTATCACTTGTTGTACGCGCCTAACGTTTAACAATAGTTTCAACGCAGCTGCTGCATTTTGAGGCGTCTTATATTAACGTTTAAATTAAACGTTTATCAAAGTTATATTGAATTTATGCGACGGAAAAGTTTAACCTCGGAGCAACCGTTTGGTTACGGCATGGTCGGGCCGCTCCAGGCGGTGGGTGGTAACCAATGTACCTATTAGTGATGTGAAATAAATCCGGATTATTTGAAAATTAGATTTCGGATTTTCGGATTTTTGGATATTGAAAATATTATTAATATATGAATAATTTATCAAAAACTATTTCAAATTTCTAATAATATCTGTATAAATAAAGTATTGAATATAGGTACTAATAAAAATATATATCATGGAATATTGTTTATAATGTGCAAATAAATGTATGCCTTACGAGACCAGTTTAGATTTAAAAAATCACCATCAAGTATATAGAAACACACTAATAATACTTTGTTAATACTTTAAGAGTATTAACCACATTAAAATGTTGTTAATCTGTATTATTTGAGTAAAAATTGTTGAACCTGCCTACGTCATGTTGTTGTGGATTTGGTATTTTATTGATTAAATATTGATTAAATTAGTTGATTTAAAACAACATTATATTTGTCACTAATTTTTGAATCGTATAAAAATTAAGTATATTAAATATATTAATTAAATTTGAAAGAAGGTGAAGTCATTATAACTTGATAATAATTAATAATTAATGCAATAATACGTAAAAGTATCTTAATTCAAAATTCTAAAATAGAAACCCGGTCTTAATATAACTTTGGATTTGAAAATCCAGAATCAGGATGTTTCCCATCACTAGTACTTATAGGTATTATAAAATATAATTATTGCGACTCGAACGAATTTCGTTTCGTGTCTATATATATTTATATATATATATATATATATATATATATATACCAGAACAAATCTATTCAACATTTAGGTGTATGCAAAACGAAGGGGTAGTACCCAGTTGTACAAGACAGTCCCTCGACAACGATTACAACGTCAACTATGACAAAATAAATACGTTACAATCAAAGATTTAAATTTTTATTTTTTTTTCAACTTAATAGAGAAAAAATCGAAGTGGACTACAATAATCCTATAAAGGCGAAGGATATCGAAATGATTTTTTTTTAAATATTCGAACGACATCCGGTACATACATATATTATGAAATCGTGCAAACCGCGTACGTTGATGAAATGTCTGGAGGTTTAAATTAATTTCGCGGTCACCTCAGCACCGATGCTAGTACGATGATGATGATGATTCATAACAATTATAAAATAATAATAATATCGACGTAGAATATCTTATACATAGGTACTACGTTTTCCACCGTTCATATCTTATCATCGTTACGACAACAATAATAATAAATTAGGTATGTCAACGTAATATCGTACGCGCAAATATGTTTTTATATACGAACTAGGTGATCGCAAATCCGTGTCGTGAAAATGGTGTACATAAGAACTTACTTATTTCTGTAAATTAATTAATTAATACTCCGACCTCCTACGGTATGGCGATATTTAACTGTCGAAAGTGCAATACCGACCGATAGCATGGCAGTATCGGTATTAAAACGTTATACCGTTTGAACTGTAATCGTGTGGTTAAAGTAGCACTAATAACATATCGTCAAATCGTATTCAGCAAAATACCTAACCCCGAGAACAATACGGACGGTGTAATACTCTTCAATATTTAAAATAACACGTGCGTAATGTTATTACGTTTGGACTCGATACGGTCTACTGACTAATATAACTAACCTAACCTAATCTAACTTTGAGGGTGATAATTTTTTTATTTTTCAAACTGCTGTACAATTCGGAATTCTGGAGTTCGCTAAATCGACCGACGAGTTTTCTTTATCTCAACCATGAAGTCGAACAGATGTGCAAAATACATACGTGTATAAAATCGTATCGTAAATAGTTCAGTCGTGATACGCGGCGTTTAATCGGAACACATTTTTTTTGTAAATTTTTTAATATTGGAGTTACACCCCTGCGCACCATAAAGTATTGGGTAAATGTTACGCGCGTTTTCCTGTCTCAACCGATGGGGAAAATTGAGTGTGAATACATGAGGACGACCATACATATATGTGAGATCTGCACGCTTTATGTTAACTATTCGGACGGGTAAAGCTTAGAATAAAATTAAAAATAAAACCGTCCAGATAAATGTTTACTGTAGACGTTCGCTCGTTCGTTGTCAGATCGCGTAAGATACGTCGTACGGTTTGCAGTTGCACGTGCACCGACGCACTTGACCCGCGCGAAAATAAAAAACTAACAGTTATAGGTCACACGTGCAGGATCGATGATCGATAGTGACGACTGTTGGTTATATACTCACGGAATAATAGCTTTGATCGTTCCTGGTGCCGATGACCGTGCCGTGGTAAGTCCACACTATGCGGTCGGCGACGGGCACGGACGAGGCGACGCACTCCAGCCGCACCGTGTCGGTAATCGTGCCGTGCTGCGTGCTAGGGCTGCTGATGGACGGAGCCCTTTTCATGAACACCGTCACCTCGGCGTTCACGTCGTCGAATCCTGGGGCAGACGCTCTACAGTGGTAACGGCCCGCGGTCGAAGCCGAGACGAGCACCGTCAAATTGCTGGTCGTGCTCACCACCTGCGATACACGTGTGAAACAATAGGGATTTAGGAAAAACAAAAATAAAATAATGTCAATAACGCATGTAACGCCACAATTATGATGTTAACGTGTGTGCGTAAGAAAAGAGAAAAAACATTTTTTAAATTTTTTTTAAAAAAAATCGATCGAAAACGAAAATAGTCCGTAACGGAAATGCAATCGATGTGTGAAACGCAACATGATCACGTCCATATTTGGTTAGGCGTTTCTGTACGTATTGTCGTACGGTGTGTGAGAGATCATGGAGAAACGAATGTCGAGACGACGATTTTCACCGCTCGGGCCCGAAGAAAGCTCTGCGCGTGTCCAACGGGTACTGTCGAGTGGATCGTAGAGGAGTTCTACTGTTAAAACGGCGATGTAGTTATGTTTTGCAACGAGAACCGTGTTCGTCTGAGGTACAATAACACATAAATTGCTAAACGGGATAGTGCCATAAAATTGTGTTTATAACACGTAGTAGGTAATACGTATCATATGTGTAATGCATTACATTGATAAGCTTCGCAATAAAGTATTTATTTTTTTTGCCGCGCAAAAGGAGTGCTATAAAAGTTTCGGATACTCCTTCTGCGTGCAGATTGGAAAATCGCCGCCAATACTTCATACCGTTCCGTTTCGGAACGTTTGCACGCACTACAGTTACCAAGAATACTTGAAAAAAATATTAATAAAAATAACCACGATTGCGGCGAAATCCGTTTGGACGGAATGAGTTGTGATTATATTAATTCGTCGGAAATACAAATAATAACAATTCTTAAGACAATAGAATTTTATTACTCGTCGATTATTTGACAAATATTTTGTAAATAAATATTCTTTTGGAAGATTTATAAATCCCTAATAAGCGTATAGTATTATATCGTTATACTTTGTAGAAACTTTACGAGAAAAATGCATTCCGTAAATTGAAAAGATCAAAAAGTCGAAAAGTATTGTATAAGTATAATTTTATTTATATATTTTTTTTTATTTTTTTTAATCACTACGAGATTTAATCTATTCAGAAGTAACAATAATAGTATTATATTTATTGCGCGTTTCTTTCTCGGATTTCAATTGATAAAGTTTTTCATATTTCAATCTCATATAATTAGTACACGAACAGAAAGTTGATCGTACGATGTCATTGCAAAACTCAGTGTGCCAAAAGAAACATCGCTTCCTTATCGTCGGTTAATATAAATATGTACTGACTCGCCAATCCAATGGCGGCGAAATTTTATTGGAGCAGCTGCTTCATAATTAAAATAGGATGAGTAGATGATATGTGATAGTAAAGTTTAATACATAATTTGCACATCTGATACATACAATATTTTAATTTATTATTTTTTTTGAGCCCATTTATTTTAATATTTATGTACCTAAATGTACATTAAATTTTAACTTGTGTCTAGTGACTTGGGGTGTTTACTCGACACATGTAACTGCTTTGTTGGAAAATAAACTTCGCGCCGCCATTGCGAACAAACCCACTCTATTTACAATCATGGGTAGTATTTTATGTCGCCAACATATGATGTGTCTAGTCTAAATTCGTATAATTACAATGAGGACAGTGTATAACGTGTGGCGATTAAAGGTAAACAAGAAAATAATCAATGATGATGTACGTGAACATTTGGGTATACAATTCAAATGATTAACTGATGCAATTCAAATCAATACATTAATGCATCATGGCAAAATGAAATTTTCCGAACTTTCTAGGCACACTGTACGATTACCAGATTTTAAGCAAATTTACTGGTCCGTATGCCGTATGGATCTGAACACAAAGGCTGTAATATCGGAACCCACCGGAAAGCGCGGTCCCCGTTTACCACATCGTCGTAGATTATAAATAGAACACTTTGCGTAACACAATACAACTGAATATTGTTGCGTTGTCGTTGTCGTGAACACTTATAAAATCGTACGGAATAATTACACCTGAGTTATAGACTTTTTTTTTTTTTTTTAATAACACGTAAATATCTGTATAATTATATATTTTGTTACGTTTGCGTATAAGAGAAATATTAAAACTTGCCTTTTTGGTCCTCTCGAACGTCCATTCGATAGAAGCGGGTGGGTTACTGTCTATGTCGCACATGATCGACACATGGGTTCCGGAATTTGCTTGCACGTTTCTCGGTCGATTTCTGAATTGAGGTTTGTCTGGAAAACGATGTGTAAAAAAAAACACTAATTAAAAATCGACATACTACGCATTTCGCAACAATCGTAAAACGCTTATAATATAGGTATAATAAAATAATATATAACGTAAATACGGAACGAAAAACTGTCCCAAAGCAGCCGCCGTGTACTCTTCTGACGCGCGGTTTCGGATGAAGTATGTCACATTCGGTAATTCGTCATACGACAGTGTCCGGGATGCACCGGAAGTAGTACCGATCACGTCGCAATTTTATGACGACTTCATTTGCTCGCATTGATCATGATTAACTTCTAATTAAACCGTTTTAAAACGTTCGCGGGTACGTGTGCGTTTCGTGTGTATAATTAAAACGAGTAATTAAAATATTCGATTCAAAAACCCGAATTGGAAATAACCACTTGAAGAAACCGCTCTGATTCCTCGCGGACGACCAAGGGGTCTTATTATAATGTATACCTACAACTATATTAACGCTATGTGTGTGTATGTGTGTGTGTATCACAGCGTCTGGAAATTAATTAAATGCGCCCGCGTTTACTGTTTCATTACCGCACGCCGCCGAGCCGGTTTCGGTTTGTAATCGTTGCGTGTCCATTTTATAATGTTATGTACTATGCTCTGTGTACGACACTCGATGGGATTGCGTACATCGAATTCCATTATTTTAACGTTTCGTAATGGTTTAATTGGATCGTATACATGTACGACGCATAATAACCGTGTCTGTACGCGCGTTCGAATGACGGTTTCGCGCGTGTATGCGTGTGTATCGTCCGTCTAGTAAACTTAAAGAGATAATTTACATATTGTCGTCGATATGCCGAGAAAATATAACCAAAAAAAAAAATTTATCGAAGAATATTCTACTATATAGTTGTCGGAGCGTGTACCGCGTATAGTGATGTAATAACTAGTTCTAAGGGATTATTCGATACATTCGTGAACTATAGTGGTGTCGAAATTCTTGAGACAATGATTTTCCAAGCTATACAATATTATATGATGTTTCAAACTCGTTCCGTTTCAAAATTGAATTGTTTTTATTTCACTTATTCCACGTTTTATAAACTTTAATAGATGTGGTTAAGGCATTATTTTCATTTCTCAGGTCTTTTTATTTATTTATTTATTTTTTTTTATATTTTCCGTGTATACGTGAAAAAGTGTCCGAATTTTCGAAAGACTTTTCAATTAGACGAATCTTAAATTATTAACACTATGAATACAAAACAACATAGCCGTTCTTCCAATGTAATTAAGTGTCGAAAAAAGTATTTAAATTGTTGTAATTTTTAACTTAAATCTTGTGTAATTTAAAATTCCGTAACCGTACCCATGCATACTGAAAGATTAAGATCAAATGATGAAAAAAAATAAAAATACGATTGTCACACACCCACCGTTTACAATTTCATCATCGGTGTTACGGTATGGTATTTTTTATTTTATTTCCTAGAATGAAAATTATTTATGAGTTTGAAGTGCATTTCCGGAGATTTTTTACATATAAAAAATGTATATCATTACTTTACTGATGCGGAGATCATATATGTTTTTAGAACATCAGAGCTCTATAAAATTACCTCTCTGTCGTTCAAATAATTTTCATAACGTATACTGCAGTAAACGGAACTCTTCCAATGGCGTGTCCAGGACTGTTCAACAGTGGCGGGGGTGGATCTTATAAATTATGGTTTATTTTAATAGATTGTGGGTATGAAGCCAACAACCTAAATAGGAAGGTTTTAGGGGTCAATCCCAGTAAATTACACATAGCTGATCGTTTTACATAAAAGTGAAAGTGTTTTTTTGAGTAATACGGTTAGGATAAATCATGGTTGAAATATTGTTATGTTTTATTTATTTATTTAGCTCGTTTTAAGTTAATTACTGTTGTTTTAAAAAAAACAAAGGCAATACATCTCACGAATTCCCCCCCCCCCCTGAACACGTCTAATTACAAGTATTCGCGTACGCGCACGGGCTGCGTTATAATATTATTATAATAACACGCTCCATCCGTACGTCGCATGCACATCATACGCCCTACGAATGTCATCTTTTAAATATACGATGTATACACGATGGGTGTAGATAATGTCAAAATACCAAAGCGGAACGGCACGAGGCCGTTAAATCAATACACCGCAGCGTTTGCAGTTTTTGCATTTCGTACGTATTGTCGAAATGTGTTTTTAGAAAGCGCGTCGGATTCCATATAATAAAAAAAAAAAAAGATAGAAACGCATACGTACAGATACGACGTAGTTGTATATATTATATTTGTTAATATAAAACGTACGTGCGGTGCTCGTCATTCGACTAATCATATACATGTATACATGTTATCGCCATATCGGCTTCACGCGATCCACATATGTCTACTCGTCGCTCGTACTGTATACGAAACACGCACGTACATCTGGTTAAACTCAAGAAATGTGACAAAAATTGTATAATAAATGCGCGTGCGTATACGTATATTATATACACCCCGAAAAATGTGCTTTTCACACGATTTATACCCACACACACACATGCGGCACTCGTCTGACAAACATAATATACTTATTACTATGGTATACGGCGCGCACGACCCCCCGAGGATCGTCAAAAGCCGTTTCTTGGCGTTTCCTCTTTTTCTTTTTGTCTTCGCGTACGCACGTGAACACCATAATGGGTTGGAATTATTATTGCAGACGTCGTAAACAAACGCGTTAATCGATTTTCATAAGACGTATCGAGTTTTCGACGACAAATTAATAGTTCGCGTATAATAGCCATAAAGCGTGGAAACGATGTGGACGGTCTCAATTAGCTGTTAGTCGCAAACCCTCGAAATACGATCCCCACAGCACAAATTATATTATAGGGTCCGCATGTCGATGGCTATTCCATTTTTCTTTCAGAACGTACACGATGCTTTCCCATCTCAAAATGTGTTTCGATAACATTGTACGAGTGGTTATTTGAATAATTTCGTAATTTTCGGGTATTTTATAACTAACATTTGAGAGAAGAATCGCGGGATTAAACTTAATTTAATTGTTATCTACCTGTTACGGAAAGTTCTCAAAACAAAACACGTAATTATTCATTTAAAAATCAATAAATAATTTCATGAACATATACAGTTTCGTAATTTTTTTTAAGAATTTCTTGTGCGTTTCGTGTCATAAACGAATGGTTTTTAGTCCGTTTTTATAGGTATTTTAGGGCATCAACTTCCGGGCCGTAATTATGTTCACATAAACGTTGCACTGTATATGTCGGTCGAGAACGTTCGTTTCTCATATTGTATGCACGAATCATAGTTTTCAAATGTACGCGGGAAATAATACTTACAATTTATTAATCATGCGGTACAGAAACGGTGGTTATAATAACCCTTGCACGTGGTTCGGCAAACAAACGTGTTATTTTTTTCTCTCTCCGAAACGTCTGTATTATATTCGTACAACACTAACGTTAAAAATTACAATACATATACACACACACGTGGTCGACGTAACATTTGGGCGAATCGTTATAATATTATTGTATTAATATTTCATTGTCGTATGCTTCAAGTTTTAGTCATTACACATGCGTAGTATGTAATACCCACACGCGCCAATTAACATTCGAGTGTTTGGCATTCGTTGCTCCGCTCCGCATGCAAATCTAAAATATACCTCGCGACTCCGGGGGCCGGTGCTGGAATAATAATGGCGCCTAATGTTAACTTTATTCCCGCGACGCCGTTCGTTTTATTGCGTTTATCGGCGGCTCGCGGGGAGGGTGTAAATAAATAAAAAAATTTAAAGAATAACAATTATAATAACGGCAAAATAAAACCGCAACAATCGGTTGCCTTCCGGACGGTCGGCGCTACGACCCGCGCGCATCGCGGCACGCGAACGCCGATTCGATGCAAATGACCATACACACGACAATCGCGCAGAACGTTCGTACAATACTTAGGTGGTGCTTACGCGGTGGAACGATTCGAGTTTTTCCAACCGCGCATTATTAGAGTTCAAGTTTTTTACGGAAAAGTTCGAGCGGGGTGTACAACACAATACACACAGTACCTGCGCAATATCATCGCACGTTGTTGTATTGTACTATGTGCTGCTGTGCTGTCAGTCAACTTTTTTTCTTCTTCTTAACCAGTGCGTTGAACCAAATGTATTCGAAATTCGTATTTTTTATTTATTTTTTTATCATTATTATTAATGGATACCCGCTCGGACGCCCCCGTTTCAAATGATTTTCTACGTAGAGCACACGTGTACAATAATAAAAACTAGTCGCCGTTTCGAAACCGTCCACATGCGTGATCGTCATCGTGATTCATCGTTTGGTTTTTATCCACTCTTGCACGCACATAATTACATTTTAAAAACAATAGAAAAAAATGATTATAATCCCTTTAGCGCCGACGTAAACAACGGCAAACTGAACACTCGTACATCCATGTGCCGGAGGACATTGACGTTAACACATCGTACGTATATACTATAATATTATTGTATGCTTACACAGTATGCTCAGCGCTTTGGACTCTTCGGTTTTATTGACGCTGTTCTGGGCTTCGCATCGCACCAACGAGTTGTGTAGCCGTCTGGTAATGTTTATCAGCCACAACTCGGACGTCACTTCGCCCGACGCGAACTGATCGTTGACGAACCAACGGTAGGTGACTTCCGGTGGGTTGGCTTTGGTCAAGCACAGGAACTGCACGTCCATCCCTTCGACCAATTTCCTCGTGGGACCGGCGACGGTCAGGGATATCTGAAACCGAGATAACGTTTTATTATTTAAACGCAATGCGATACGCGACACGGTTCGACGGTAGTCGTCCGTCAATATAACACGGATGACCTTTTATCGAGAATTTAACAATAACATATATATGTAATATATTGTCATCTGGGTTGTCACTATCGCGCTAATGCGACGAGTTTCGAACGATTAAAACACGCACAGATTTATGCAACACTCGACGTGTCAACACTATATATTTTGACAGGGCAGGCTCAAGTAAAAATAGTGCACTAGGTAAAATCAAATTTTGCCATCTCTAAAAAAAAAAATTTGAGCTTTTATTTTAATTTAGTACCTCCCTCTATTTTTTATGTGTCATATCTACATAAAAAATATTTTAATTTTTTATTTTATGTATAAAATTATATGTAAAAAGACTTAAAAACGATTTTTATAATGATTACTCAAAACCCATCACTATCGCGTCTACTAGAAATCGCGAAAGTGATTGTGTGGTTATTTATATTTTTGGAATAATTGAAAACGTCCAGTATAAATCGTAATATAAAGTAATATAATAACTTTAGACAATATTATTTTATTGTATTGGTAAGTGGATTTTACGAATAAATTGATTTAAATATTTTTCTTATAAAACATAGATAGAACTAAAAAAAATGTACAAATCAATTTTAAAAATACCGCCCCTACTTAAGTGCCGTTCTAGGCAGGTGCCTAGCTCGCCTATACCTTGAACCGGCTCTGTATTTTGAACTACTCTACACGGCAATGTAGTATAATAATTATAAAGTTTAACACAGAATTACGAGTTCAGTTGTACCTCGGAATTGCGGAGACCCGTCACAGGACGGTGAGAAATGTCTACTGCTGATAGGTGTCCGTAAATAACAAATAAAATAGTGTCTACGTGTATGCGTGCGGAAAATTCAATTTTATCGACTAATTAAAGTCACGTTTTACGTGTAAAACGATCAAGTATACAGTCGAGAAAGAATCGGAAATGTTAGGTTTTTCGTTGTTGTTGCGTTTCTCAACAAATCGGTACTCGGATTCGGATGAATAGTTATCGGAAATATGTGTACAATAGGTTCGCGTTCATCTGTTTGTAGCCGTCCGTCATTCCACGTGCATAGTTTTGCGTTTTAACTCGTTGGCATAAATGTAATTAGAACGAATAATGCAACACTGCAAGTTTAACCAATTACGCGCTGTCAATTCGTCGTCGGAACGGGGAGGGACGGACGCGGCGAGCGTTCTGCACACAAGTTGTGTATGTCGATTGAAGGACTGGAGGAGGAGGATAAAAAATAAGAGGAAAAAAAGCATGACCATGGTTATTAACGAAACTATTATGTGCACACAATGCGAAGTACGCGTACGGCGCGCGCCCTCTGATAAACAACCGCCACGCCGCTCCATAATTAGCACACACGATCGTGCGAGAAGAAGAAAAACGAGAGAGAGAAAAATGGAACGAAAACAGAACTGCAATAGACATGAGTATTATAATGTAATAACCACGCGTGAGTACAACACGCTCGGCCGTGCGGGCAACACGAGGATGGGATTTAGAAGATTTCGGAATTTTCGATATCGCGTATATATATATATATATATATATATATATATATATATGTAACGAATGATTGAACGTAATTAGCTCGCGTATAATATGATATTATTACGGTGTACGCGCTTGTACGTAGTACCGTGGTACGCTACTCGATCACGCGGATCTAGTTTTATTGATTATCGTTATGATTATTTTAATACGATACGGGTACGACGACGGGGCATGGACGGCGACTAACTGCTATTACTGTTTAAACCATATAACGTGTAATACGCACCGTTGCGTCGGCGATGAATATTATTGGAAAACTATTATTTTTTAATTCGAACGTCGTCCGACCAGAGCTGTATCCATGACCAACGGTCCTGGTATTATTATCCTGCACTCAGGTACGCGGCCGAGGTGTACTCTCGTGCGCCTGATACGCACACCGATACGTACATTAGTCTCTTATCCTGAGTAATGGTGTGTGTATACGTGCGCGTGTATGCGCGTGTGCGATGGATTCACACGCGCTTTGAAATCGTCGACGACTCGTTCCCTTCTCCTCCCGCGGTATGAGAGAAAGCAAGTTGTTGCAAGATGAATATCGAGACCGAAGGGAAACGAAAAAAGGGAAACGGAAAAAAAAAAATCAAAACAACATAAAAATAATAACGCATTAATTCCTTGTAAACACACGCAGCAGTGTCGTTAAAATGATAATATTAAATAATTATGATATTATTACAAATGTTAAACGCTCTACGACGACGGCCACGTGAAGAATGTACGAGTGCGTTGTCCATGTTTGTGTGTGTGTGTGTGTACTCGTATGTGTCATATGGGAAGCGAAGAGATTTCAGCCACACGTGTGCGCAGCGGTTACTGTACACTATGTACTGTGGGGCGAAAGAAAAACAAAAAAAAAAATATATACAACTTTGACGTCTGTCTGCCAGGCGTTATTACGGCTAACAACACGATGTTTTTTTTTTTCTTACGCAGAAGTCTGAATAACTATTTTAATGAGATAATATTATATTCGTTTTAATGGCTACAGAGTACCCCGTACTTACTTGCGCGAAGACGACGACGACCGGGACGGCGTCTCCGCAGGAGTTTTTTTTCTTTCACATTTCTGTACACCGTACGCCACCCCTCGTACGTCCGTTTCCTCTATCCTTCGCGCGCGCGTCTCGAACAAAAGGGGGAAAAAACGGAGACCGCGATCGCGCGCGCACAAGACCCCGTAATATTGTACAATAATACGTATATTTTTTAATATTCATCGAGCGGTAACTGCACCGGATCATCGTCACGTACAGCAAATCCGACCGGTACGCGTATGTACATGTATAAACGTATGTATGTGCGCACGTGTATACACACATACACAAACACCGATGCGCGTATAAGGCCGTGTGTTATTTGCCGCAGCACTCTATAATAATTAGAATAATTATTATTCGGAGCCTTCCCGATATCCTTTTGGTAACATTATTATTATTGTGATTATCGTTATCATTACGGACGGACACGACAATATGCGTTTCGCGTGGTACTGAAACAGCAGCGGCAGCAGCGGCAGCAGCGGCAGCAGCGGCAGCAACGGCAGCAGCAGAAGCATCGTCGGGCACCAGCAGCCGGGTGAACGAGAGGTCCGGAAAAAATAATTATATTATCATCATGCACCAGCTCCCTTTCTCTCTCGAACACATTGTTTCCGTCGCGTACGTGATGATATACCTCTCGCGTAACGTTATTACCGTGCATTATACACGTCGTGTTCCGAAATAATTATTACGGATATATATATATATATATATATATATATTTATATATTATTATTATTTATCCTTACGACGATTTCAAACTTTCGAACAGGGCACACGCACACGCGTAAGTTAAGGCCGGTAGACAGATTTAGTACGTCGTCGTGAGGTTTCTACTGATACGTATTATTATTATTACTATTATTATTTACGCGGTCGTCTTCGTCGCGCACGTAAGGTGGTTTTGTGTTGTTCGATAGTGGATTGCGGTAACCGATCGTGGCCGACCGTTAATTATTTACAAAACGTTAAATTCTTAATGTGCAAACGAGACGTATTGACAAGGACGTGCTAGAATACATTATTTTATTATAAAGTTCGCGAAGTAAAGGGTTACCGTACAAAGTGCGTCGGGAATCATTAATGACAGTACACCGCAACGCGTCAAAATATAATTAACGCGCGCACCTGTATGCGATCGGTGATAGTGGATATCGATTTATAGAGTATTATCTTATAACAATATACAACGTTGACGTATACGCTAATATGAGTATCTGCAGTTGTTACGCGGGTGAATGATGTTACAACCAGTGGTGTTCCCATAGAGTGTACTGCACACACGCCGTATATTCTCAATACCGTAATCGTGCGCACGGGGTAGTCAGGGTAGACACTTGACTACTCAGTGAACCTTCCCTCTCTCACCAAAATATTCAATATTATCACAATAATAAATAACCGTATTATGTTTAACCACTTCGTAACATTCGTGAACGGTAAATATATGTATAAGAATATTGAAAAATATAATTATTAAGGCATTCTTAAACAAAGTTACCCCAACCAAATTTGTTGTTAATATTAAATGTTAATGTGTTATGTATAACTAACCTGCCAGTAATGTCTGCCCGCGCTTATGCTCAAAACTATTCTGATGTACACTTTCAAGTTTCGAGCACTTCGCGGACAAGTATTAAATGTAATCAGTTTTACAGGAATCAATTTTGGCCATATTTTGTTAGTGATATTCATTTTTCCCTCGGACGGTTAGTGGGTTATATAGTATATAAAGAAATTATTGATGGTATGCTATGCATTTACCATGGTATCGTTTTTTTTAATTCATTTTAATTTCTATTTCTATAAAAAATTAAAATTTTTACATTTCAAGTGTTCGCTAACGTTTACAACCGTTTTTCGCTACCACCGTCCAAACCGTGAAAATTTCCATATTCAGACATTCGTACGCGTAGTAAGTGTACTCTTAATGGAATCGATGGGAACATCGCTGGTTATAATATTATCACACGACATCATAAAGCCGAAATGAAAACGCCATTATTTATTATATAGGTAAAGAACGTGCGGTCGGATTGCTGTAATAACATTCAGCGCGCGAATAGTGATTTTACGTTTTAACAAAAAAAATTGAATAAAAATCTATCATTATAATATATGTTGTGTGCGCGAATTAATCGTTTGGAACATTAAAGTGAGCGGAATATTTTATCACTGTAAAGCTTTCGGCAGCGGCGACGACGACAACGTCAAATGCAGCAATAATATCTGTTATCGATCTCTTTCGTTTTTCATTTATTCATATCACTTTTTTATAAAACCCACGACGACGGATACCATGTCGCGCGACACGTTATACCACAAAGTTATATATATGT